ATGGATATAAAAAGAAATCGAGGATTTTTTTTTTTGCAGAGGTCAGTGTAGCACCGCAGAGACTCTGAATGGTTATTATTCCAGAGAAATAGAGAAGATGGGAAATGTCACGGCAATTAGTGTTGCTGCTGGGAATGTGTGCGGGCACTTGTCAGTCTACAGTGCATTGTGGGTAATAAGAGCCTTCAAGGCAGTCAAGGCCATGAGTGAGCACAGACTGACCGGGCTCTCTGGGTAGCTCTCCTCTTTACACAGAGGGAGTTTAAAAGCTTAAAAGAAAAGATTTAGATGATCTCATCACTCCCCTAAAGAGATAGAAAGAAGTCATTTCTATTCTTTAATGCTGCGAGAACACAAACTGTGTTACTTTTGTATTATTTATATACTATTATAAGATTTATTAATATTTTGAATTGCTTTGATTTGAATATTTTAAGTTTTCATTTTAATTTTAGTTTGTCATTTTGTTATGTGCTTTTGTCATTTTTTTTGTATATTTCTATATAGCTTCAAAGTTGTGATGAAACAGAAGTAGCAATAGTTACTTTTCTTCCATATCTGTCACTTTATACTAGATGTCCAGTTATGACATTTTGATTAAAAATGATGAGATCAAAACATAAAAAAAGAAAAATAATGAAACACACTCTGTATTCTCAGATGAATTGTTCACAATAAAATCTGTAACATGCATTAGAATAGAAATAAAAAACAGAATATAAAAATAGGGTGATTTTTCATGCTGCCTTAAAGGGTTAGTTCACCCAAAAATGAAAATTCTGTCAATAATTACTCACCCTTATGTCATTTCAAACCCGTAAGACCTTCGTTCATCTTCGGAACACAAATTAAGATATTTTTGTTGGAATCTGAGAGCTGTCTGACCCTGCATAGACAGCAATACAACTGAAATGCTCCCAAGTCCAGAGACGTAGCAAGGAGATCGGTAAAATAATCCATGTGACATCAGGGGTTCAACCGTAATTTTACAAAGCTATGAGAATACTTCTTGTGTACATAAGAGAAAAGAAAACGACTTTATTCAACAATTCGTCTCCTCCGCATCACAACTGCGTCACGCCGGATCTGATTCCTACGTTGTTGTGATTTAATCTGAACGAAAACAGTATATCCGTGTGACGCAGCTGACACTGAACAGCATACGCTGTTTATGTCCAGTGGATACTCTCCAAAATGGCGCTACAGGGTGGAGGAGACAAATTGTTGAATAAAGTCATTCTTTACAATCACTGAATAGAACCTGCTGGTTAGAGCACGGTTTATACTCAGACGGGCATTTCTGTTGTAATGTGAAACCTCAGTGGGCGGTCTGACTTTTAAATGCAAACAGATGCTTTTTAGCACACGGCTAACAAATGTCACATTAATGTGTCATAATCCATACAACTTTCTTTGTGCATTAGTCAATGCATTAGTTGACTTTTGCGGTTGCTATATTCAGCATAGACAAAAGTCTTAAAAGAACCTCTACATTATTAATGCATTGCAAATGATAAGATTTTTGCTGTTTTCTGTAAATACCTCACACTAGAGGTTCACACGCTTCCTTCCTCTTGAATGAGCATTAAGGGATGCAGTAATGCTGTCCACGTCAGAACACAAACTTGTTACTTTGTGGACTGATTTCATACACTCTAAAACATATGTTTTGTTTCTCTGGGCTAATTGTCTTTAAGTTCACTAAGCATCCATATGTTGCCCAGCGTGATTGGACAGGTGAGGTATATTTAGAGTATGTGTATAGTTTATATGTCAGACCCTGAGGGGAAAATGGCCTCCAGATGGGTCCAGATGTTGTTCTGGTACGCTGGGAATGTGCTTGGACAGGACAACCAGGGCCTAAGCACTGTAGAATTTACAAGCATTCTTTAGGCTCTGTGTGTTGAAATGTACACACCTACAGCTCTTATATAACTAAATAAAGCTATAATAATCAGAAAGTGCATAGTTTAGACATATTTAGGAATATAAAATGAGGGTCTGTGTCTTTTGAGGGCTTTATATGGCTTCAAAAGTATTGGTTGTCCCTTTATTGCTTAATTCTAATGCAGTGAGCAGATTTTAAGGTACGTTTCTTAACCTGTCAAGTTGTAGTTTAAACCCCCAGATGTGAGTCACAGGTTTCTTCCCAGTGTTCAGCAACCTACTTATTTGTGAAACGTGCCAAAAGCAAACTAATAGCACAAGTAACTGCATTTGCCAGCATATTCTAGGCTTTGTGCCATTAACTATTATGAATGCTGTGATGCTACAGGAATATAGTCACCAATTTGGCATGAACTTGTTCTTGGTTGTGTTTTTATTGCTGGTGAAAGATACCTGTTGAATTTGCATTGTATTTATAATCATGATTTAATTTATAATGTAATAAATGTTTTAAAATGGCTCTTCCAGGCATCTCCTTTGCCTTGGCATATTTTACTCGGTGCCCTTGATGAAATTGCTTTTTTTTAAAGAAAAATTAGATTAATATTATCAATTTTTGTCCTGCGTCCAGCCACTGTAATCAATGTTATCTATATTTCTGTTTGTCTGACCTGCTGGCTGTTCTGCTGCTGCTTTTACCAGAAACACAATGCAATGTTTTGAGTCAGAAGTGTTTTGTCATTGGGTTTCCTGACTGCTACAAATAGGTCAAGTCCCTAAAGGAGTGGAGCAATGCAACATGGGCAGTTCCCTAGAATTGAAGAACTCCAGACTTCACCTCTATCAATAGTCATTTAGCACTACTCGAGAACAGTTATTTGGGATACATGATGTGCAGCAATGCCATACATTAGCCTGGGGTGAGAGCTGGATATAACTTGTGGCTTGGTTTTTCATGCAACACAGAGCACTTATCATAAAGACAATGAGCTGTTAAACATGTTTGTGGAAAGTGCAACATATTTGGCCTTGATTTTGTCATTTTGTCTTCCAATTACTTCTTGACAGCTACCACGAGAATCATATTTTATAGTCATTACAACCCAACATTAAGCAGCTGAACTGCTGTTGGATTTACTGTGACGGAGTATTTAAAAGCCCGAGGAGGAATCACGACATGGTGATTTATGAAGAAGCCAACATTTTGCACAGTCATCTTACTATAGGACTACAGTGATATACTGCCATTGGCAGGGCGAATATATTTATATTTCTGTTTTCAACTGCACAATGCCTTTTGCACATCTGCTTTCACAATAAAGATATTCAGTTTGCCTACAGGCATGTATGGACAGCGCCTGTGGTCCCTCAGCTATGCAACTGTTGTTTGTATCACACTGACGATTGAATGAAAGCTATACTGTAGGCCAAATTTTTGAAGCATTTTAGTGATTTTTAAGGTAATTGTCAATGTTGTTTGGCCCTTGTTGAAAGTTTCCTTGTGGTTTCTTTTTGCAACAGTTTCAGCTATGATCTCAGAGGGGTTTTGAGTCATTCTTCTATTGCGGTGACATTCTGTCACTCACTTTTAGATACCAAACGAAAACAACCAAACTGCAACACGCACAATTCCTATAAGAAACCAAACCTATTCCAACACATTTTAACAGTATGTGGAATGATAAAAACGAAAACCTTCTCGAGTGCTCAGGACCTCAGACTGGGCCGAAGGTTTATCTTCCAACAAGACAATGACCCTAAGCACACCGCTAAAATAACGAAGGAGTGGCTTCGCAACAACTCTGTGACTGTTCTTGAATGGCCCAGCCAGAGCCCTGACTTAAACCCAATTGAGCATCTCTGGAGAGACCTAAAAATGGCTGTCCACCAACGTTTACCATCCAACCTGACAGAACTGGAGAGGATCTGCAAGGGGGAATGGCAGAGGATCCCCAAATCCAGGTGTGAAGAACTTGTTGCATCTTTCCCAAAAAGACTTATGGCTGTATTAGATCAAAAGGGTGTTTCTACTAAATACTGAGCAAAGGGTCTGAATACTTAGGACCATGTGTTATTTCAGTTTTTCTTTTTTAATAAATCTGCAAAAATGTCAACAATTCTGTGTTTTTCTGTCAATATGGGGTGCTGTGTGTACATTAATGAGGAAAAAAAATTAACTTAAATGATTTTAGCAAATGGCTGCAATATAACAAAGAGTGAAAAATTTAAGGGGGTCTGAATACTTTGCTTACCCACTGTATGTGAGGGTTGATAGGAGATAATGAACAAACGATAAATGATTACGTGCTGATCTCACGTTTCCCGCCTTGGCCTCGTTTTCATTCCAAAATGGCGCATTGCGTGTAATAAGCACCCATGTTGAAAAAAACAGCATATGCTGGTTAGGTATGTTTTGAAGCTGGGATGCTGGTTCAAGCTGGTTCTTTGCTGGTTTATGATGGTCCTTTGCTGGTTTATGCTGGTCCCTTGCTGGTTTAAGCTGGTCCGACCAGCTTAAGACCAGCACATGACCAGCTAAGGACCAACTTAAACCAGCTCAAACCAGCATCCCAGTTTCAAAACATACCTTTTTTCAACAGGGACAATAGTTTATTTTTACGTATTTTTTGTTGTATTAGTTGGCTTGCCTAACTTAAGTTACACCCTGTTCGATAAAATTACGGAAATGAATATGACATTATTAAAAGGTTGTCTAAGAATGGCTAAAATATCAAAACTAACTTCGTGTTGATTCTCCCATGTTCGCTGTCAATCATTTTTTATGTACTGGGCGTCCTTTTGATTTCCTTATTATACCGTTTTATGTAAATACATACATTTGCAGCATACACGTATTTCTTTTTATATAAAAAGTTACCGAGCTCAATACACTGCAGGAATTATTTTATTTATTACTTATCAGCGGTTGTTTAGTGCCATGTATCTGCGTAGTATCATTAAGGAGGCGCTAGTGTAATATTATTATTTAAAGTACATAAAGGAATAAATAACTAATATATGACGGAGGGTGGTCTGAAGCCTGCATTAATGCGCTTGGCGTTTTCCAAGTTCACTGCAGCTCGCGCAGAACCACTGGAGGCAGTCGAGCATCACACCTCGAGCTCAACAGGAGGAGAGGAGGACAGTCACAGCAGCAAAGTATGCACACTTACAAACAGCCCCAATTCCGCGTTTACTTCAACACAAGGATCTCTCAGCGTTCATGGATACTCCCACCTTTGCATGTCATTTCCACTGCAGCTTCAAACATGAATCGTGCATAGACTTGAAATCGCTTCTCCCGCGCGCAGACAAGGATAGAGAAAAGAGACGTGTGTACTGTCCAAACTAACTGCAAAGACGCAGGATGGCTAAAGAGATCAGAGGGAGAGGTAAGAAGAGACGTCTGTGTGTTCTCTGTATGTGATGTGACATCTCAGGAATTAACGTGCAAGCTGCGGAATCAAAGCAGAAAGAGTAGACCGGCAGCTTGCGCCCTTCACTTTCCGCGTCAATCTGTAGTGTTGGAATGCGTGATGAACCAGGGTTGTGTCTCAAAACCTAGTGAGCTAGACAGCGTTTTGGGGCGTCACGGGCGCATTACAGTGCTTATGACGCCCCAAATGCAGTCCCGTTCACTTGGTTTTTTCTAGCTTTTGCTTCACCTTAACATGCTCTCTTTACAAAGTGGTCTTAATATTAAATGTAGAATGTTTAATGGAACTAGGGCAGCAGTTGTCATCCATATCTGACCCAGGGATCCCCTACACAGACTCGCAGGCAATCCAGGGAACGCTAATACAAAAATATGTCCAATAACTGATAAAAAGAATCAGTTGTTATTAAAGTTTTTTTTTTTTTTTTTACAAAATAATGAGACTATTAATAATTAAATAATAAATACTATTTATGGTTATTTACATTATTATTGTTGTTAATACAATTGATGCAGAAAATATTTTCCTTGTTTAACTGGTAAGCTTTAAATGCGGCGTTTCTGGCTTGAAAAGGAGTATCTTTTGATTTAAGTGATATAAGTGTTATGTTGGGTGCTATTCATTAGAGATGCACTGATTTATCAACATACCTGATGTTAAAGAACCATTTAAGTGGAAAAGCTGAATATAATAATAATAATAATAAGAATTGTAAAAAATGGTTAAATGTATTACAGTTTTATCTTGAATCTCTTATTTGACTATTTTATGTAGTATTCAGGTATTTTAGATGCTGCTCTTGTAGTTTCGGTCAGATCTGCAAGGGACAGATGAAGGTCTTACAGCACCATGCTTTATCTTGAATACAGATAAATGGTATAGAGTCGTTCTGTTCTACTGTTCTGCACTATATTCTATACTATGCTATACACTTCATATTTTTTAAGAATTAAAAAAAAATTCAGCAAAGATGCATTAAATTAATTAAAAATGACAGTAAAGACATTTATAATGATACGAACGATTTATATTGTTTTGAACGTTCTATTCATTAAAGAAACCTGAAAAAATGCATCACTGTTTCCGCAAAAATATTAAGCAGCACAACTCTTCAACATTGATACTAATAAGAAATGTGTCTTGAGCACCAAATCGGCTTCAATAATGGCTGCTGAAAAATCAGCTTTTCCATCACAAGAATAAATTACACTTTAAAGTATATCAAAATAAAACAGTTATTTTAAATTGTAATACTATTTCACAATATTACTGTTTTTTGCTCAAATAAATGCAGACATGGTGAGCATAAAAGACTAAACATTTTACCAACCCCAGACTTTTGAACGAGAGTGCATATGATGGCGCTGTTGAAGAAATTATGACTTGTAAAATAAACATTATTAAGTAAGTAAGAAATTAAAATGTGAGAATGTAAATAATATTCATATTTATGGTTTACTATAGACATTTTATGAAGAAAATGTGCTTGCCTTTGTTGTGTAAAACTAAGGCTCAGTCTGTATACGTTTGTTAAAATGTTTTATTGTTTGCCTAACAAAAATCGTAGGTCTTATTGGTTTGAAAAGTAATAGCACACCTCTCCTCAACAAGCTCTATGGTTTGAGGAATTATTTATATCATTCATATGAATTGGACTCATAAATTTGATACTGAGGGTTAGATGCATTTCGATATTCCTGAGCCTTTGTGAGCGATAAGGTCACTAATAAAGAATACTAACATGACGATTTGTAGAGCAAACGTTGGTTAGTGAAAGTGGTTTTGTGGTTATGACATAGTTTGCATGTTCCCTTCATTGGAAGTTGTGAAACTATGGCAAGTGATGGCAGGTTTGTTAGGGGGGGGGGTGATAGTTTTTAAGCATTCCAGAATATGTGTATCAACAGGTAGAAATCTTCTGCTTTCTGGGAAAACCTGGTCTTCTGAAATGAGAAAATCTAAATGTCCCATTTTTCTCATGCTCTTAACTGTGAATAACATAAGTTTTTGCTCAAATAAATGCAGACATGGTGAGCATAAAAGACTAAACATTTTACCAACCCCAGACTTTTGAACGAGAGTGCATATGATGGCGCTGTTGAAGAAATTATGACTTGTAAAATAAACATTATTAAGTAAGTAAGAAATTAAAATGTGAGAATGTAAATAATATTCATATTTATGGTTTACTATAGACATTTTATGAAGAAAATGTGCTTGCCTTTGTTGTGTAAAACTAAGGCTCAGTCTGTATACGTTTGTTAAAATGTTTTATTGTTTGCCTAACAAAAATCGTAGGTCTTATTGGTTTGAAAAGTAATAGCACACCTCTCCTCAACAAGCTCTATGGTTTGAGGAATTATTTATATCATTCATATGAATTGGACTCATAAATTTGATACTGAGGGTTAGATGCATTTTGATATTCCTGAGCCTTTGTGAGCGATAAGGTCACTAATAAAGAATACTAACATGACGATTTGTAGAGCAAACGTTGGTTAGTGAAAGTGGTTTTGTGGTTATGACATAGTTTGCATGTTCCCTTCATTGGAAGTTGTGAAACTATGGCAAGTGATGGCAGGTTTGTTGGGGGGGGTCAGTCATGTGATAGATTTTAAGCATTCCAGAATATGTGTATCAACAGGTAGAAATCTCCTGCTTTCTGGGAAAACCTGGTCTTCTGAAATGAGAAAATCTAAATGTCCCATTTTTCTCATGCTCTTAGCTGTGAATAACAGCCTACCTGACACCTCATTGCAAACTGAACAATTCAGGGCAGACTTCAGGTTTCCTCCATAATGATTGTGCTCTAGCGAACTTGCACGATGATTTGGGTAGAGCACGGTGCTAAAAATAGCCTTGCACGAGAGGCGGTGACAGACTCACTGCTACCCTGTGGTCCTGTGAGAGAAAGAGAGAATGACCGCCTTTCATGACCGTCTGTAGAACTGCAGTCTGGCTTTTGTGTCTGTTTACAGGCAGTCCAGGTTATTACTTGGCTCCATTAACCTATAGATGGATATTTTTAACTAGATAGGATCAAATGTTAGATGGAACTAGATAGAATAAAACATTCATCTACAGTATATGAACATTTTAACTAGATGAGTTTTGTTGTAGTAGACAGATGGTTCTTTAAAAAACATCTGCTTTAAATTAATCTCTTCATCAATTAATTCTCGAACATTTGCTTTTGGTGGCAAATTATAATAGCATTTGTTTTTATGTGTAGGAGAAACGTATGTATTAGATTATATTATACTGTGTATTATTCATGCACAAATAACAATGAAGTTTGAGTGGAATAATCCTTCTCTATAGTCAGACAAAGGCTATAGGCTATTATATATAATTATAAAAAAATGGCAAGAGTATACAAAAATACAATATAATATATATATAAATTTTTCAACATAGAAAGCATATCTAGGTTTTTTTTTGTGGTTCAGCAGAGTGCGTTCAGTAGTTTTATTCATTGTTCAGTACTTTTTGTGATTCAAAGGAGGGCGTAAACCAAAGGGCATGTTGGTATTCAGCATGCTTTCATGTTATAACATGATCATAAAAGAATATGATAATGATGACTGTACTTCCTAATATATAATTTTTTCTGTCATTTCAGAGGGAAGCTTTACACATGATGTCATATCGTACAAACACTTCCTTTCAGAGCTACATGCAGATGTGCTTGGTTGAACAGCTTCACCTTAGTAGAGACGAGATGCCAAAAGCTGATCACAACTCGGAAGCGTTATGACAGCGCTGTCTCCTTAACAGAACATCTTGATTTTGTGTTTGCATTTCCTCTGTTATGTAAAGACACAATTAACGTCCATCCAAGCGAGCTTTCTGTGCTCATGCCTCATGCATTTGCAACGTCCCCTCCTTTAGTCCTCAGTTGCGCATTGACAGAAGGAGGAAGCGGCTCTTGAGTAACCCAGTCAAGTGGCTCTGTTCCCCGTAGTTTACTCTCAATCCCCTCTTAATGTTGTGACCTTGCATGAGGTTTGCCCACTGGATCCTCTATTGCTGCAATGATTTCACACTTACATTTGTATGCCATCTGTTGCAATATAAGCATACCCTTTCCATTCAACCTATAGTCTGAAAATCTTGACTCTTCTCTAAAGCTTAGAGCACTGAACGATTCTGGCCATGATTTTGCCGTCTAAGAACAAATTTTCAGGAATATCGCGTAGTCAACATGGTCAAACACATCCAGAGTCCTAAGATCATTGAAGTTGCACAGTCTCCTTTGGCTTTTACCCAAGATGCGACAAGCAACAATCATAAAGGACAGAAAAGATTGCACAGTATGGCTTTAGCCTGCACTGCCTGGAAATACAGCCTTTGTCAGTATTTGCATTGTCTGGCAGCATCAACTTCTGCATTTGTGATCTTTTAGGGTTTCAGTATCACAGTTCTGCTTCGTTATTTATCACACCAGTGTTTTTTTTGTGCAACTGTGGCATATGTGCTGTTTCACAGCGTGTGTGGCACTGCTTTGAGCTGCCAAACGCAAGTGTTTACAAGCCGCACGGCACATATGTTGCAAGCGCACACGCTTTGGTGATGCAGGGATAAGGACGAGAGTATTCTTCAGAGTAATTTAATGAAATAACTGATTGAGAACTGTTTGCTGTTTTTCTCTAAAAAGGTAGTAGAAGTCGGTCCAAGATTTGAGTGTTCAAGTGGACAACGGAAAAAAAACAAAACATCAATTTCATACAATATTGCTGTCATAACTCCAGCTCCTGAACCTGTTTATTTTCTTTAAAAAATAATAAATAATTCAAATTGAATAATTTAAAATTAAAATAAAAGGATTTTAAATTGGATTGGTTGGATGATAAAAATTATATAAATTATTTTATTGATATGTAATGTGTGTGTGCATATTATTGTATATTATTCATATAAAATTTATTATTTTTCAAAAAATGTGTCATATATAA